TATTAAGAGTAATATAAGTATGTTCCTACCAAGCATTTTTACTGTCAAGTAGACGTCAGGGACATGGATAATATTAAAATCGTGATCACAATCCACACAAGAAGGTCTGTTCGATTTCGTTGGCATTCGAACGAAAACTGTTGCGCACCACGTTAGATATCTCCAGCCACCATCTTTGATTAATTTGACGCCGTTAAATTAAATTTAAACAGTTGTTTTTTAAGGTTTTAAACGCAAATATTTTAAAACTTTAAAAATTATACATTATATTAGTCAATTAAACATAAAAAACACTTGTTAAACTAAACCATTATCGAGTTATTTTTTTGTATTTTGAACCTATAGATAATTATTTTATTGAGTTATTTTTTATGAAAGTTTGTAAGCTAAAATAACTGAATATTTATTAAACACAAAATTTAGTATATATACTTTACCTACCCCACTATCACAGCTTATTACGAAGATCAATATTCCAGTCAATTATCAAATATTGAACTGAATAAAATAAGACAATTTTTGATAAATTCAATATATTTTTTAATAACTTTTAAGATAAATTTTGCACGAATCAATCAAATGAACTAATAAACTTTATCTTAATTATTCTTAATTTTGCCAAATTTTTTATAACTACTATTAAAAAATAGATTAAATTGACCTAAAAAGTGCTTAATTGAATCCAAGAATTGGTAAATTTAAGAAAATATTATGTGGATTCTAGAAAATCGTAGGCAAATTTAATTTAATTTTAACTATAATTATTGTAAATTTTGTAGTGATTTATAAAACTTATTTGCTGCTATTTATCACGGTTTGATACATTTAAGCCTAGCAAATAATTCATTTGAATGAATTATTGATATTAGTCTAATTTTGGATTGGCGCTATATTGATAAAAAATTTGATTGTAATACTACTACTGGATTCATTGTATTCAAAATTTCTTTCCGTGTAGTTCATCATCCTTTTATCTTTGATTTTTTGTTAATTTATACATATATTTAAATAAATGAAGAAAACTACTTTTTAACAGTAAATAACATATTTTAATGAGTGGTCCCTATGGATGATTTCCACATAAAAATTCTAATTAACAGAATTCCAAAATCACAGATAATCTCAGAGACGAGAATTTCGGGCGGCACACCTTTATACAGCGGTAAAGGTGCGCTGCTTAGGAGGTCCGCGCCAATTTAACTCCCCATGGTAGCCTTCATCGTTATCGTTATTTATCTTGAGATCCCGGCCGGTCTCCGACCTTGCTCGGAAAAATTATTACGAAAGGAATCTCGAAACACTACCATACACCTAATTATTAAAAAGCCCCGGATATTTATGACGAGATTTACTCCGATTACTACTTGGTACCTACGGGGTTATGTGGAGAGCTATCTACAGTGTGTATCAGCCAAATTGAATACATTCGATAATACACAAAATAACTTTTTCTACAGAGTGTTTCATGCAGAGCTCAGCATTAGTACTAAAAAAAGAATTCGTAAAATTTTAAGTACGAGTACTAAAAATATTTACTCGTAAGTACATTTGTAAAGAGAGGTTACGATTAAGTTAATATAATTGACAATTTAAACTTATTAAAAACTCGACGAATTTTTTTTTTTCGGTTGAACACTGTCGTTTGTAGTAAACTGCTTGACTGTGCGGTGAAATGAAGTACGTGATCGAATTTTTCCGGAAAACGCTGAGCGTAGATATTAACAGCATCATCAAGATTCCCGCCTGCTTCTCCATAAATCAAAATCATTTTTATTTTTTCTTCCACTGTTAAAAAATCCATGATGAATAACTGCTTAACGAAAGGAGGTATTTTTGTTTGCAAATTAATCTTCGAACTAAATTGATTAAATAATGCAAAACTATGTATAATTACTTTCTTTATACCTCAATTAGGATTAAACTATTTAATTGACAAAATAATGTTTTTTTTTACCTTAAATGAGGTGTTTTTATTAAAAATAGTACAATAATCCTTTAAATTAAAGGATTTAATGCTGGCAGGTAAAAAGTGTCCATGGTGCGCAATTGATAATTATCACCGTATATATAAAACTTAAACCAAAGGAAACTTAAATATTAGTTAAAAATCAGATTTAATTTAATAAGATAATTATCACCAAAAAAAGTGATATTTTTATGGAAAAATTATTGCAGAATCGTTTAAAAAGAAAAATCGATCAAAATTGATTTTTTTCATTACAGCGCCATCTATTACAAATATGAAAAAATGTTTTAGACAAAATCTACCTATTTTTAGTCGAATGATCCGAATCTGCAATAAAAAATAGGGCGTTCCATTGGAAATTTTAAAGTTACCCCCTGTTCCCCTATAAGGAGGAGAGTATGAAGATCAATTTTAGTACTGATTGAGTTCCCCCCTCGAATCATTTAATTTTTATTTTAAAAATTGTTTCGTAAACTTCGCATTTATCTACTAAAAAAAATTGTTATTGAATGTACTTATTGTATATTATTATTAATAAATTATCTAGTATTAAAATTTTATTATTTTTTTTTAGTTTAATGTTCCAAATATGGTATAGATTAGATTGTAATAACTTTTTGCGTTTTGTTTTTTCGTTTGGGTGAATCATAGAAGATCTACATCAAAGTATTTCTTATTTCTTTACGGTTGAATTGTCCATTCCAAGAGCGATTACTGCAAATTAAACGATCTTTGATTGGCCGATAAGTAAAAACTATAGTTCACTTCCTCAAATTTATTGCTTTAATTATATTTTATTTATTAATTTATTAGTTAAATCTAACGGTGCACGTCTATAATTATATATTATAATTATAGCCTAGCTTTACTATTTAATATCATAAACATATTTTAAATCGAAAGCAATCACATTTATGTAGGTACTTCTTATAACGAAAACTAAATATTTATTTCTTCGAACCGATAATTTTAATTGCACAAAAATCCACAGCGAAATGCGTGTATTTTTACACTAAACTAATTGAAATGTTTTATTTTACAACTTCGCATATCTGGAGGTCGTAAAGCGTCGGCTTATTTCAAAGCCAACTCGACAACACTGAGGTCAATATGTTAATATAAATTATTTTTTTAGAGGAATATAAAAATATACCACAAGATTAAGGCAAATTGATAAAACAGATCAAAGTAGTTTTTAATTCAATTAAAATAACAATTTTTATTTGTTTACCGCTTATTGCAAATAATTTTCCGTGTGTTCTTGAAATATCGATGTGTTTGTTACATCTTACCGCTATTTGTGCAACGGTAATACGTATAAATAGAAGTTTTAAATTTTAATTTTTATATTGTTATTTATGCTATGAGCTATGAGAAATTATTGAAAAAATTCTAGGATGTAGTAGAGTCCACTTAAAAGACATTTGCAAAGTTTTAGAAAGATTGACCATCTGGTTTCCGAGTAAAAAATTATTAAGACTACATCGTTTATTATTAAAGATAAAGATATAAAACTATACTGGATATAAATATAGTTATATTTATTCTAAGATTAGTAAAAATTGGTACGACTGCAGTCGGCCATGGCCATGGCCTATTCTTAAAAATATCCCCCACTCACGAAAGTGTCCGACATTTTGGAAGATTGTTTCTTGTGTTAGTCAATATTTGGTTTGGAATTATAAAAGAGTTGCTAAATTAGTGGAGTTTGATAGAATTAACCACCAAATGTATGTGTAGGTAATAATTTTTACATATTTATATTTATGTTTTTAGTATATGTATTGAATTTTAGATGTTGGAGTGATATTAGGTTGGTCGAAGAATCACATAAAAAACAATTATGTATATTTTACCTCTAGATCATAGGTACGAATAAAAATTGTTTACAGTTTATAGTAATAGACACACTCATTCCTGTTAGTTTAGTTTATTTATACGCAGATGATGTATTGTTTTTTAGAAAAATGCAAATTAACATTTTATGTGCGTTCAATATAATTTATAACAGTACTTTCAGTCTTATGCAAGAATAATCGGTATAATTGTTGCGTCCTTAAGAAAAATGTTTTCTACGAAATGATTGTAGGATATTCTTGTTCGATTAAATGAATCATTGTTGTCTATAAAAACATTAATCTAATATAAAAGTTTATAAAACAAGTTAAAAATCTTAAGAGCATTCTGTAATCAATTTTACAAAACTTCTCAGTGCAAAATAAATGGCTTTTTTAACAAATAAAACAAACATTTCGAAAACTGAAATGATAAAATTAAGTAAAATAAATATTCCGGGTCGAATTTCTCGATCAATTTCAACAAATTGCGCATTGTTTAGGCTGGAAACGTTTAAAACAAAAAGTTCTTTGTTTTTATAATGTTTCACATTGACTTTTACAACTAAAAATACACGCAATACCAAACAAATTTCAATCAACCACGCCTTTCCAAAACCTGTTAACTTATATAAATAAATGTAATATGTATTTATTTATTTATGCCCGCAAAAATAAGAAAAAATGCAGTGTTTATGAAAACAACCGGATATTGCTGTACAAATTGTTTATGAGGTTAAAAATAAAAAGAAAAAATCTGCATGATTTATTACTTTTCGGTACATTTGTAAGGTACGGTGACTCAAGAGTGCGCAGTAAGAAACTGCGCACTCTTAGGCGCGCCGACCATAGATCGGCAAAAATATTCATGTCTTTAAAATTAATTGAATATTGCGACAGGATACTGACAAGTTAATACGCCCAATAAATTTATTAACTGGGTTAGCAGGATTGGTTTTTATTTTTTAATAATTAGGTTCAATTATAAATATTGCAAAATTTATCTGCAGGACACTTGCCAAAGAAGTCATTGGCGTGGATATGCACAAATAAAAATCAGTGGCTGACATGAATTAATTTTTAAAATATATATACAAATATCAGAATATGAGCCAAAACACCATTTAAAATATTAATTCTTGTTTTGCAAGATTTTTATTGTGTATTGCAATTTTTTTTATTCTTTTTTTGGGACTCACCTGAATGTCCACCAGATGTTAAAGCACATGGTATTCAACCAAAAAAAGGCGGCCAAGAAAAGGAAATGCATTGAGACAGCTGAAAAAAAAAATTAAAAAAATTAACATTAGGTTATAAAAATGTTTCTTGTAAGGATTCTAAAATAAGTCCGCCACATCAAATTTTTCCTTCATTTCCATTCATAACATAATAACAAATTAATTCCTACACTCAGAAAAATGTACATGCACTAATAATGAAACTAATTTTGTAAGCGATTAATAAAATAATATTATTTAACTTAAATTAAAAAATGTAATGGCTATAACAAAATGTACCACATAAGCTATCTTTTTATTAAATTTTCAGTGTCTTATTGGGACAAAAACCTACGATTTGTCGAAGTAATGAGATTATTTTTATTTACAGAATAAACTTATTTTACTGTTAATAAAATTCTCATTCACTATAATGAAGCAGCAATTTTGAGCTTTTATAAAAAAATGTTCATCCAACAAAGTAATAGTTGTTATCATATTGTCATGGCAATAAGAAATACTTTATGTTTATATTAAATCTTTGTCGAACTTAAAATGTTTTTTTAAATCTATAGTTGTGTGTGAATTGCGCTTACATAAAGTAATGTGCAGTTGTTATAGTAAAATTTGTTCATTTTACTATGGCATATTTATCTTTTTTAAATTACTATCGTTGTAATTCAATTATTTCAGTTAGAAAATCTTTGTTAATTGCTTACGTTAAGAACAAGAACAAAAATATGTTATTGCTATAAAAATACTTTTTTAATATTTACTATTGTTTTGCAATGGTAACAAAGTTTTTGTTATTTCCCTTAAAAAGAGGGGGAAAGGGCCAGCGCTCTCCTTGGTGAACATAACTTTATAATCCACAGTCTGTGTTATAATCTAATTTATTTCACTTGTTCGAGTGAAGTTTGGTTAAATTTACCATGATAAAAATATCAAAAAGATCACTAAGAACATTAAAATTTCGACGTTTTCTAAAAGAAACATTTAAGGCCTATTCCATAAACGAAGCAGACTTGTTGTTTAAAAAGTGAGTTCATATTTTTTTGTTTTGTACATCATTTAATATGAGTTAATTTTTTTGTTATAATAAATAATATTTTAATGCCTTAACTACCCAATACCCAACAGTAGGTTGAAAATGTGACCATTGTTACAATGAAAATAGTTTATTGAATTAACAATTAATTTGTTGTTAAATTTACATAAATTTTATTAATATTATAAAAAAAGTTTTATTTTAAACGAAAAGGGATTTGTAAAATTTACAAAATTTCTATGAATAATACCATTAGGGTTTCATTAATACCACAAAACGTTTTTGTAAACGGTATAGAACTGTTTTTTCGACAAATAATAATAACTATATTTATCAATGCGTTTCTGCATCTGGAAGAGTGTTAATTTAATAAACATAACGTAAATTTACTTTATAATAAATGCAAATGCTATTACTGAAAGCAGCGTTTGTAGATAAATAATTTTTATAAAAATGATTTGTTTGCCGTAACAAAAGCAATTGAGCCGTCCGCAGGATGAAATTATTCAGGATAATTGCGAAATTCGAAAAATGTTCAAAACAAATTGACTACATGAACTAATTAACGAACCATTAAAATTTGTATTATTAAATAAACGCTGGGACTTTTAGAATGCACCTGTGCTGTAATTTTGATTCATTTATGCAGTATCTATTATTTATTTAATTATTAATTAATTTAATTTGCATTGCGAACAACAAAACAAATAAACCGTTCCTGCTGAAAGAATTTGCAGTTATCTGTAGTATTCAAAAGTGCTTGTTTTATTTTCAAATGTTATTAATTTTTTGTATAAAAGGTCTTTTTTATAATTTTTTCTACTTCCACCTGTAAAACGCCCTTTATCGTACATGTTTCCATGACACTAAGTGAAGTTAGTTTTAAGTTAATTGACAGTTGTCAAATGTCATACAATCGTTAAAATAAAGTGCCTTTCTTGTAAAATAATACTAAATGTGCAAATTATTTTATTATCTCAATACAAAAACACAAAAGTATTAAATAGTTTCTCAACGCCAATATTTGAAAAGTTTATATGAACATTGTACTGACCTTTTAATTTCGCCGGCAGTAAACTATAACTTAAATTCGGGCACGGACTCCACTGAAAAGTGCTCATAAAACATTTTCTTTACTTTCACTGTGAAAAACTGTCAATTTTCCAGAAATACATTTCTATTTATAACCTTTATAATCTGTGTTAGTAAAATATAAAAATGTGACATTTGGCGGTGACACACAGATTCCCCTATTGTTTCATAGATGGCACCCATACAAACTTTTGATTTAAATCATTTTAAGATAATAATAAGTATTTATCGTAGAAAAAGTATAGTATGCACCTCGTTTATAAACTTTTGTATACACTCATTAGTAGTATTTCATAAATAACTGTTTATCTAAATTTATGCAATTAAACGGTTTAAATTAAAATTATTTATAGATGTAATAGATGGAACTCATGCATTCAGTTTACGTTTTATTGAATTATTATTCAGAGTTGTTATTAATTAAATAAATGTTGTGTTAGAAAGGTTTTAAACAAGAATGGTAGGTAGTTATTATACAATAATTATAAACAGTAGTTAATGTTTTTATATTCATAATTAATATTCATTATGTTGGTAAGAGAAAAAATATCGCTTCAAGCTATATTTTACATTCCTATTTTTAATATTAATCATGTCATTAGTATGGAATCCCATGTATTTTAAATAGTGGGTATAAGCAATTAAAATTGAATGGTATTTTTATATTTGCAATAATAAATTGTAGTAAAATAAGATTTTTTGACAAATTTGAATTGATTTAGAATGATAAATATCTAATAACAAAATAGCTAAAATTTTGTAAGAAAATATTTAAATAATTGATACCATTTTTGTAAATAATGGGCAAAAAATCGACTTTTTAATATTATACAGGGTGTTAAAAAAACGTAAACTTAAAACTCATTAATGGTGCAATCATTTTATCATTTAAAACTTCATTAGAAACATTTTTCTTGTAACACATTTACCGTAAAGTCAATAGAGTAAAAAAAGTTTAGACACGACTTGAACATATTTATTTCTCTGCAACTATTATTACTCGTCGGTCGAAGAGAAAATTCCATCACGCACTGGGAAATACCTTCTTGTTCTTCTTTCTAATCCGAATGATTATAAGGCCGCGCGCGATCCGCTGCTATCGGCAACACCGCAATCGTGTCGTTTATACACTTGACAGTATTCACTTTATGCGATACTTAGATAAAATGTTTTTTTTATGCGAAAAAATGTTTTTTTCGGGTCTTTAAAATGAAAAATCTGTCAAATTTTAGCTTCGTATGGGTAGGTAGGTATTTGCAAAATTGTTCAGGGACTGGGATAAATCAATAATTATGACCTGGTGATCAAATGAGGATAAAAAGTGTTTATATGTTCCTACTGTGCTACATTATTGACCACCTTACTATTTACTTTAGTTTGAAATTTATATTTATTTTATGTTTTCAGTTTATATTAATTTACGTCTATCCTTACAAAATTTTTGTGTTGGTCGCTGAATACATATTTAATCTATCGACATTTGCACTATTATTAAGTGGAGACGACAAAAGTAATCATTTTTCGACAAAACTCATTAATAAAATAGCTTCGAAGAAGCATGGCAAACTTTTTGGTTAATTTTCCTTAATTAATGACTTTTGATGCAACCGGTAATTCGGGTAATAAAATGGGAAAAAACTGGCTTTTAATTGGACATAAAAAACTTTCGAATGCACCATGATAAATATTTCATTTTAATTAAAATAATAAAATAAATAATTAGGAGAAGAGTATAAACTTTATCAAGGCTTATTAGCGGTTTTCGGAAATTCAAATTGATAATAAACATTTTAATTGCTTTAAAATAACATTGGTCGAAAAAATTAAAAAAATTCTTTGCGACAGGGTTGCACAATAAATGTTATTATTTTATGATATTGTGGAAAAACCGAAAACCGAAATATTTTATTAACAAAATATTTATACGAATTTTAATGTTTCTTTCGCAATACCGTAAAAACAAGAGCCAATTAAGCCAATCAGCGCACCCAACGTAATCTAGAAAAGTTGTAGGCCATCATGGGCAACGTTTTTGTCGACCAGTGTACAATTGGTATTACCTTTGTAAAATTTCTATACATATTCGGAATTTAATTTTACTAAGGGCCGGTTTATCAATGTCCAGTTAAAGTTGCAGTTAGTTATCTGTTAGATAATTTCCATGGATACCATTGTTCTCACAACGATCGATATGAAATTTAACTGTCAGATAGACTAACTGGAACTTAACTAGAGATTGATAAACCGGCCCTAAGATCAATAAAATTACTAACCAAAATTTGCTATTTGAATTACAATAAGTGTTTGGAAATATACAAATCATTATTTATTTTATACAACCTGTTTGCATTTTTACTATTTATCATTTTAATCATGTTAACATTTTTTTGTAAAATTACAATTGTTTTGCAAAATAAAGAATGAGTAAAATTACAAATCAGTGTATACCAATACAAAATTATAAAACAATTTGAGTAATCTTCCAAGACATGTTGGGAAATCAACTAAGATGAGTTTCCAAACAGTTTGACAGTTTCTAATAAAAAGCATCTCAGATTTACAAACGTTTTTTGTAATTTGATTTGCTATAATGTTATGTAAAATGCATAGTATGTACCGATTGCGGCAATCACGTGATGTTCTTACATCTCGCCTCGGTTGACTTAGATGGACAGTATATAAGCTCAGGTGTCTTTCGTTTTTGGTGTGTTTCAATTCACCAAATTGCCCGACATTGATAAGACCTAAAATAGGTCTATCTGTCTAGCTGTCTGTCGGTATTTTTTTTTTAAATCTTAACAATAATGGGTCAAGAAAGTTTCTTGAAGAAACTAAGAAAATTGCAGGGTTTTTTTGTAGTATCATTACAATACCATCATTCGTAAATTACTAAATATTTTAGTGTAATTTGTTGTAGAAAA